CCTTCAAACTCATGCCCGTTTCCCCTGGAGGAGATGAAAAGTGGAGCGCTTCGCATGGTAGCATTGCCCTTGGAAGAGACCTCACGCAACCATCCCTTGTGGTTTCCTTCAACGGGACCCCTGGGTTCATTCCCACATTCCCTACTGAACACCAGCAAGTAAGTGGGTTTTGCTGTTTCATTCAATTGCCGGGCTGACTTGATTGAAGTTCTCCTCTGGTCCCCTATCGGTTTCTTGTGTTTGTAGCAAACATTCGGCTTTTTTTATGCCAACTCCCAGCTTTGGTGCATTTGTCTTCCGTCTGTCACTGGGTGCACCTTGCAAGGAGCCCTTGGCTCTTCATGCTTTGAATATGACTACGATACTGATGATACTACTTTATGTTTGAAGATTGACTACACATCAAACATCATCTTACATACCTATTTATTTGTGCACCACGGGATTCGGACAAGTTGGGGTTTATTGAGCACGCACCGAAAGGTTGGTGCGTGCAACTCGCTGACACCAAGCTTTAAGTGGGTTGTTTCAAGCAGCACACCTGGGACACTTGAAGTTGAAGGACATTTCTAGTATTTGAAGTCTGGATCCGTTCGGTGGACGCTAAGGATCTCTTTTACAACTGCCTTGGGTATATGTTTGTTTCTCGCGACTGCTGCAAGATAGCCTGAACATGTGCGTGGTACTGGAAGGAGGATGTGTGCATTGCTCATGGTTGAGGACCTCTTGAAGGGTCGCTTTCATTTTGAGTCATTCTGATTTCCGGCCTGTTCTGTTGAGCAGGTGAGTTGAATCAAAGGCGCAGCCTGAACCCAATGGGTTCATTTGCTGCTTGCTTGCTTGACTTTTATCTCTGGCATTCAGACTGGGCCCATGATTTTCTTTGGTGAGTTTTGCTTGGATGTTAGGACTTCAACTATTTGCCAACTAATGGGTTTTCCATTAAACCACTCTAAGTTAAACTTCTAGCAGGGGAGCAGAAAGCAACCGAGTTTTCAGCGCTCCTTTTCTTGAAGTCAGCTGAGCCCTGCCTGAGTGCTTGACGGACGAATCTACACCCGTTTGATGAAATCGTTTTCGCATCCGTGGATTTCCACCTGACGGTGGGTGTCTTCAATTGACCCCCAGTGGGTTTCCTTTGAATTCCCTTGCAAACCACCCCCCCCCCCCCCCACAAAACCCCAACCCCACCCCAACAAAAAAAAATCAAGGAAAACAAAGGGAAGCACACCTCTGTTGTAGCATTCTTTGGGGCTGCTTGATTCCCCTCGGAAGCAAGCCGGAAGCAGGCAGTTTCGATACGTTTTACGGCATGTCCTCTGTAAGGAAAACCCAAAAACTCGAACCAGTGGTCTTAAGGAAGCGGATGATTTTTTTACACGGATGGTGTTTCAAGGACACCAATTGGAAGTGCCCCTTTCCATTTAGGTCAATGGGAAGCGTGGAGCTTTTTTTTCCGACCCCGAATCAACCTGCCGCGCCCTCCTAAATCGGTTGCTCCCCCGTACTCAACCCAACATGTCAGGAATGGGTTTGGCTTCCCTTCAACACCAAGCAAAAGCCAGGGTTCCCCAAAAAATACTTCTCTGCCAAAATAAATTGGCTCCATGTCGAGAGACGTCGAGCAAGAGTATCGCATTGGTGAACAACATGCAAATGAAGGATAGACAATTGCCTTTGGCTTTTTCCTTTAGGCTTCCAATAGAAAGGGGCACTTCCAATTGGTTTTCTTCAAGCACCCAACCAAGAGAAAAACAAAAACAGAAAGCCAGGACCAGAGTCTCGAGCAATCACCAGTCGGCAAAGTGTGCGGCATGGTCACAGTCCTTATAGGTGTACTTCTCGGCCCCCAAAGCGTGCAACAGGCTGAGTCATATCTTGAGTTACCCCAACCTCCATTCCATCATGTAGCCCCTGACATGACCAATTGTTCGGGTCTTAAGTGGGTTGGGATTCGGTTCCAGTCGCGAGTCAAAGGACCTGCGCTAGGGCCCAACATTTCAGAGCACACCCCAGTGGGTGAGAATGGCGGGCACAATGGAAGAGGCCCTTTTGGTTGTTATGTTTGTTGTTTTTGCGGACTTGCGCGGTGCAGCGAGCTGACTTCGGTGTACTAAGTCTTCTGCTTTCGCTCCGTGCGCCCGGCATTTCCAACTCAGGGTATGATTCCTTCCGCCAAAGATGCAGGAAGTGCTTGAACTTGCTGAAAGCGCATAACTTCTAAACAACAGCCAGTATGCAACCAGGGGTACGACCCGTTTATATGTATATGATTTTTTTTGTTGATTGTTAGACGGAAAACTGGAAAGCTAGATACGTGATGAGATAGATGGGCAGAGGGTAGATGGAATATTCTTTACCAAATGAATAAATATATATTGACAGAGGCGGTTCTGCATAAACACCTGTTTTCACATTTTGGGTCTAAACGGGCTTAAAACCCCGAGCAACCCCCCGGACAAACCCCCGGACAACCCTCCGGACAGCTTTGAGGGCACAAAATCGGCGGGACAACTCCCAAGAACCCGGGACAAACCCCCGGACAAGTCTTTGGATAGGTTTGGAACACGTTAAAACCACTCGGGAATATGCTAAAACCACTCGGAAACTACTTGGAAACTACTCGGAAACTACACGACAATTACTCGGAAATCGCTCGGAAACTACTCGGAGGAAAGTATTCTCGCGGGAGGGGGGGGGGTTTGTAGCACAAACCTCGGCAAAGTGCGCGGACAACCCTCCGGATGATCTTCCGGATAACCCCCCGGATAATTTGCCGGATAATTGTTTGTCCAGCAGTTTGTCCCGCACTTTGTCCGGCATTTTGTCCCGTATTTTGTCCCGCATATCGAGGGGGGGTGTTTATGTAGAAGGGCATTCGTTAAAATATATAAATGGATAATTAAATATATGGATAATTGATAGATATAAATATGTTAACCCCCGAATTTTGTTTTTTATATTATTTTAATTTATTATTGTTATTTGTTTGGGATTATGGTTTATTATATTAAATATAAATAATGAATTTATAATTATAATTATTTAAATTATAATTGGAATATATTATTTGGATAATTAGAAGTGAATTAGTATTGAATAACAGAATATTGAGAATATGGAGATTGTCTTTGGCAATTTTGTTATGTAAAATTTATTGATTTTTTTAATTGATTATATTTTATATATTATTTTTTATATTGATATATTTATATATATTTTATTTTTGCATTATTTAGTTTATTTTGAATTATATTTATTTTGGGAAATTATATTTATATAATATAACAGATAACTAATATGATTGATAATTATATATAATTTTAGAAAAAGATATAAATTTGGAAATTATAGGATGATTGGAATAATTAGTTATGGTGTTGTATTATTTTTTATAATCTATATTTTAATTGTTTAGAATGATTTACAAATTTTATTGTAATTTGATGATTTTTTTCGGATAATTATTAAGAATTTTTATGATATAATTCGGCTAAAATTTAATTAAGATAATTTTTATTCGAAAAAATAAATATGTTAAATTTGAGGGAAATGATTTACTCGGAAATAATGTTTGGTTTTTATATTTTATTTTATTTTTTTATTATTATTTTTTTTTTTATGATTTTTTATAATTTAATATTATTTTGATATTATATGTTTTTTTTGTTTTTATTATTATTGTTTTCTTTATATATATGTTGTTTTTTATTTTTTACATTTTTTTTTCTATTTCTTTCTGTGTATTTTGTTTTTTCTGTTTATATTTCTATCTATCTCTTTATTTATCATAATTGTTCCTTATTTCTTCCATTTATTTAAATATATTTATTGATTTATTTATCTCTACCTATTTATATTGTTTTATTTAAATTTGCTGATTCATATGTATTTTTATGAATTTTTATTTATTTCGAATTTCCTTTATTTTAAACGAAGATACCCGAGGTGGAGGCAATGGCTTCCCAAAAATACCTCGGTCCCGGGAAAAATTAGCCGATGCCACAATAAGACCTAAATAAATTATCCCTCATCTTATAAGCGATAAAGCGGCACTAAAGAAAGAAACAAAAAGAAAGGCATTTTTTTTTAAAAAAAAAAAAAAAGAAAAAAGAAATATAAACGGAATTTAAAGGAGGGAAATACGAATATATCATTTTAATATATCGATTTATAAAAATAATTATAAATATCTAAAAAGATAAAAACAGAAATAATTATATATAAATATTATTAAATATATAAATATATGAAATATATATTTATTATATATATTAAAATAATATATATTTAAATATTTAAATATATATATTTAATATAATTAATATAATTAATATAATTAATATAATTAATATAATTTTAAATACATATATAAATTATTTAAATATATATATAATTTTTTATAAATTGGTATGGCTTCGAATTCATATTTCTCATAAATTAATAAATCATTATAATAATATTCCGACCGAATTATAATACTTACGGCGAACGATTATATTTATCTTAATCTGTTTTTCCATAATATAAATTCCTGTCTCTTCGTACGGCCCGGAAAAAAAAACAAAAAAAACACGAGAATTTCCTAACAATTTTGCTCGAATAATTCTATAATATTTCCGGCAAAATAGTTTTTAAAATTCCGGACATTACCCCTCATTATATTTTTTAAACAAATTACCAAGCCAATTTAATTGCTTTTAGTAATTTCTACCTCTCTA